GTTTTGTTGACGCTAAGTCGTGTTTCACACTCTAGGAAGTTTCATGACCTTACAAATCAAATTAAATCAAATCAAAAATCACGTAGGACATTTTAGCCACTTATAAACGTCAATTTTTTTGTATTAGTACATTTCCCCACCGTCCAGTTCAAATGTTCATAAGTTCAATATTATAACGGGAATGCGATGTTTGTGAGTTTGTATATATGGAGTATAATCTCTGGAACTAATCGATCAAAGTTAAAAAGTATTTTACCGTTTCAAAAGTATATACCTTATTCCATTTGAATACAATATTATTTGTAACCAGGCGCAGACAGAACTTATAAATTTGTTTATATAATAATTATCTGGGGTAAAATAAAATTGTACTTTTTCGTAATTGGTTTTGAAATATAATAAATAAACAAAGGTGTAGTGTGCCGTTTTAGAATAAACAAGTAATAAAGTATACCTGTATAGACAATCACAGATATATAGAAACGAATTATGTATTTTAAAAGACCAGCGACCTAGTTTTAAAGCTATACTTACATAGTAATTTTATATTGTAAAATGAGAAACTGTAAAAATAAAACGTAGGTAATACAATACAGTTTAATATTTTATTTCTAATTACTAAGTACAAATATTGCTAAATTGTTATATTTCATAAATATGATATTTTTAATACATAATGGTATCAATTTCTTCAATTACAAAGAAGTAGGTCGTCAGCTGTCCGTATCCATATTAATATCACTATTTCTTTTAATGGATGATAATGGAATGATGCCTACTCCTGCACTAACGTTTAACGCTGGCGAGGCACCAGTGAACATGAGGTCAAACCCACCGTGACAAATTGACCAGGAATTTATCATGATGGTTTTCAGGGAGAGCCGCGTGGAACCTGACATCATGCCAGAAATAAAAAACGTTTAGGGGTGGGTCACCCTTATCATTGAGGGACACGAAAAATAGATGTTGGCCGATTCATAGACCTACCCGATATAAACCCAAAATTTTACAAAAATCGGTAAAGCCGTTTCGGAGGAGTTTGATAACAAACGCCGCGACACGAGAATATTATTAGAATTTAAAATATATTGTACAAAACTATTACACGTGGTATTACTTTGTTCCAAACTTTGTTTTGATTCATTTCAAATAAAGAATGGTTTTCTAAATTGTTAGGTGACCCGCGCAACTTCGTCTACATTACACTTATCTATGTACCCAATTTTTGTAATATCATATTACATTATAGCTATGTATTATTCTGATGTATAAGCTATATTACTATAACTATATACTGTTTCATCTAAGTCTGTTCAGTAGTTTTTAAGTGAAAGAGTAACAAACATCCATCCATACTTTCGCGTTTATAATAGTAGTAAGACACTTGCGTATTTGTTTGTTTTAGATGGTTTTAAGCCGTCTTTATAACAGTTTCATTCCAGTAAGTAGATGACGAGAGATATGATGGCACAAAGAAGTTATCAACATGGACAGTTTCACTTATTGCGCTGCCGCTGTCAGGAAAATGAATAACAATTTCAACACATTGTACTGTTTGTCGCAATACCTCGTTTATCTTCTTTATTTTTCGTTTTGAAAGCATCGATTGTTCTTGCAGACAGTTTAAACATTTGGTAATAGCTATTTTTGTGCCATAAATGCTATATATATATATATATATAATACCAAACAAAAAATATATAGGTAATAGTTTAAGTACATAAATTATATCAGTACAGTTATATATGTATAGTTATCTAAAAATTACGTGTTTTGTATTGGAAAACTACTATTCAAAGGGGATAAGTGTGCAGATTTACCTAGGTATGTAGGTTTACCTACCTACCTATCTAGGTATGTAGGTTTACCTACCTACCTACCTACGTATGTAGGTTTTTGACTGACGAATAGCAATTTTAATTTATGTGGTGTTTGAAACTTCAAATTCATCACAGCGTTTATGAATGCAACTAATACAAATGCCGTTATTTACCTCAACTCTAAATGGCAATTTTTGTACGTAATTATTCTGTTAGAGAATATTATTAAATGTAGTGTTAATAAATGCACCGTAACTATTCACCCCGAAGAAGACTCCCGGATAAAGACAAAACAATTGTTTGAAAGTCGAAAACATAGTAAGTTAGTTCATTTCCCGTGTAGTATACAGTTATAAAAATATTAAACAGTGTATCAATTAAAGTAAATTTTAAACTCGCTCGTCTTTACCGTAGCTTCTATTCTATTATTCGTAGGAATCTATTCCTGATGTTTCAGGCGTCCATAGACTACGGTAACCATTTACCATCAGATGGGACGTAAGCTTGTTTGCCACCATTCTAGTATAAATAAAAAGAAAAAAATGTAACTCTTGTGACTAAAGGATAGTCACATCACATAATACTAATAGTATATATAAATATAATAATAGTAGTACTTGCCATCTTACATTGAAATCAAATTAAAAAAACAGGCATCAGTGACTAGTCCTGTCATTTCATCTTACCGTACGTACATATTAATTGGCTACATATCCTCGAATGACATATTTATACGGAATATTATCGACAATGTTGTAGATATGAACTCGTTTTTAATGTCAAGCCTGTTAACTTACAAATATTTTGTGCTCGTCAATCTGATATCGCTATTCGCTACACATACAAGTTATAAGAGTGTCACAAAACTTATAAGAATTATGTCTATAGTTCCTACGTATTCATTTAGTGATCGTTATTTATACTATTTTGTGATTGTAATGGGTAAATTAATCTTTTGTTGTGTCTGAATATACATGTACCATGCGAATCAGCATAAAATAAGAAGCTACAAAAATGTTAAATGTTTTTCATTACTAATTCTTTAGGAAATGCGTATATAAAAATGCCTAATATCGTTTTTCTACTTTTCTATTTACTACAAGAAATTTATTATAGTAATAATTTTCTTACAGACAACCTAGAAGAGGACTTATGTATCTACATAGAATATACATATAAGTGGCACACATTAGACACTATATTTAATACGGCTATATTTTAATACGCCTTTTAAAACTAATAACCACCATTCAATTGAAGTTCCTATCTATTTTTCATCAAGCGGTCAGCTCATGTCCACTAGCAATAAAAAGTATCTTCAACATAATAAATACATTATATAGATACCTATTAATCTTTTATAAAAATAATCTTACATATTTGATTCATGATTATTACCACATATAAAGCTCTTTATCACATTATAGTCCTTTTGTGTCAATAGGCACCAAAGACCCGTTTATAATAGGTTGACACCAATTTAAATCTAGCCTTGGCACGTGTGACTGGCTTATTAGAAATACCCTAATGCTTGAAACATATAGGTTTAAATGTATTAATATGTATTTATTACCCCAACTTTAGAGACTAAGTAGGTAATTTAAACTTTTTTAAAGTCTTTATTTAGTATAAACAATTCAAAAAAGCTAAAATACAGATATATATTAATATATATTTTATTCTGTGCTACTATTGTAACAGGATTTTTTAGAACGAGCCAAAATACCCATTCAGCGTCGAACTGAAGAACTGCAGGTTACGAGATTGATCCTGTTTATTCATAACTCAATTACTGACAAGTCATTAATTTTACTAACTGAAATCGCTATTGTAAAGCAACATTGTAGTTAAATCTTGAAGATGCACCGTTTCGCATAAGCTGTTGCAACCTTCAGTATTGAGTTACCGCAATAGCATATGAGAAATCCGTCGTCTATCATAAACAGCACTACTGACATCACGTTATCAAGTAATACCCGTAAAAGCACTCATGTCCTGTCCTTATCCTGTAGTTTAACTGCATAATCTGCATCCTACAACTAAATACAGCTTACAAAGCAAGCTGCTTGGTGGTTGAAATTGGTGAGACAGGGACGCAGACAACTTTTCACCTAAAAGTATAGATAGAAAACTATTCACTTTATTGATATTTTGGGTACTGTAGTATCTACAAAGGTAAAAATATAAGTTTAGAATTTTAAATAGGTGATGTCAAATCTTTCTTGCTACTTTTTTATACTTGAATTATGAAATAGTGCACACGCTTGCGCTAACGGTACATATAGTCTAGTGGAAGATCAATGTAAGGAGATAGGATGTGAATGAAGTCCGGTCAGTTAATACACCGAGGCGATTCATCACATAATGGTTTCAGAGGGATTTATGGTCTTAATATAGACCAAAAAGGTGGCCAGAAAGCGACAGACGACTAAAAAATTAAGCTAGCCGCGTGGAGATTGACGTGACGTGGTATAGGTATAGCTTAGGACCCTACTACAATAAAATACTACTTATTGATGCTCTTCTTTATCAATCATTCAATCTAAACATACACAGAGGACATTACATTTGAAAAGATTATTTTAAAATCCAATAGATACATTCGCCAAGAGCATCGATAAATAATAATATATTTTTTTTACAACACAGCCGTGTTTTATTTTAAAATATCCTAAGATCTATTAAAAGTTAAAACCCGTGCAAAATGGGAGGGGGACAATAGTTTTAATTAAAATGAAATCACTAAAAAAACGTATATATTCGCGCGGGTGTAAGGATGCTTGACTTCTGATTAAACCAGATGTTTTCTGGGCATTTGAACTTTGTCGAAATATGCAGTAAAATTCAATTTTTTTATTAAATTTAATAAAAATTACACATTCCCCTAATTTCTATTAAATTTAATAAAAAAAATATTGCTGTTTAAATCATGGCATCGTTAAAGATTTTAAAGCTCTAGTAACAATGCTGTAACGTGTTACAATTTGTAACTAATCATTTATCAATAATTGATTAAGATACCAGAATCTTTTTATATATGTAAATATATAATTGTTTGTACTAAGATATATACACGTTCAGTTGTAACTGTGTCAATAAGTATGCATCGAATAAAAAACCTCGAAATGTTCAACAGATCCTGAAAGTTCCAATTTTATTCAATTTCAAAATTCTACTCACCAACTTTAACAGTAGAAATAAAGTTTTCGTAACACCAAACAGTCTCAGCACTCACAAAAGCAGTCTATACACTGAATAGGTATTTACCAATATCACTAAGTCAGTAACATCAACTACTTTGTTTGAATAATTATTTTTGTTTAACGATAAGACCGGACAACTTAGTTTCGAACCGGCGTCTCGATCACGACAAAGCACCGCGTGCATTTCAATGGATGAAAGTGTAAACGGTGGTTTTTGTATAGCGTTCTCTCGCTTCTACAAATACGACAGAAAAGGATCGAGCGCGGCGTCAAGTTTGACTTTTGGAGTCTCGAGTGGCTACTTCGCCCACTACTTTATTGTTATTCTAATTTCCAATATTTCGAGCTGCAGAAGTATGGCTCCACACCACCGTACTATTTTTTTAAGTGGTTATAATGGAATTGATCTATAAGCTGGTGCGGCACCAGTGGTGAATAGTATGAACATGAAGTCAGGTCATGGCTAACTGACATTGTGGCGAATTTTACCGCAATAATCGCGGACACTGCATGGAGGTCTGTTATATAGCTAACAATAGGGCCAATAAGACCCATTACTAACAATCCCAGCCCTAATTCTATACTATTAACAGAATTGCCTTAACAAAGTAACAAAATAAGTTTTCTTGACTTTAAGGAATATGGGGAATATAGATAGGGTTAAAAAGAATACTCATCAATGTGGATTGTTTACTTTATTTCTTCCCACAGGTGGCAAGAACCAGAGTAGCGAGCACAACCTAAATTATGAAAATGGTAACTATTTTCAGGGATAACCACTTCTAATGAAATAATAAGGTTTATAATTTTAAATCGAGTTATACAACAGCTATCAAATTCAACAGTAGGCATAACAACAATGTTCGAATTACAAATTATAACATAGAAACCAAATACATTTGACTTTGCAATGTGCAGTTTACATTTTATAATAAAAAAAATATGTATTACATAGCAGTGAATTTTTGAAATAGCATTTACCACAATTAAGACGTGAAATCCCTTATGAACTTGCTCCTACCCTGGCCTATAACATATTTTTATCTCTAATTTGAATTAAGAAATTTCAAAAACAAAAAGAAGAAATATAATTTGATATGATGTAAACAAATACGCATGTAACCAAGGGCAATCAATCGGTTACAAGCCCAATTGTTACTTGATGAGAGCATCACAAGATTTAAAATACAACTACATGCAATATTTCGTAATTGTTAACATTTGAGATATCAAACGTGTGCTTGATTAGCTACGTGTTGAAAAATTCTCTTGGCAAAATGCTTTGCTCTCGTTTCAGCAATAATTTTACAAACAAAAATATAAGAGACTGTGAAAGATGTGTAAATATTCAAATAGGTACCAATTTTACTGAGAAAAGCTCAATCGCCAATAGTCTAGTGGCTTACACTTACAATGTGAGTTTAGGGACCTATCTCCAATAAAAGCACTCGCACGTTGTCACTGCAATACCATACTCCTTAGATAAATCTTTGCGAGCACTTTTAAAGGTTTAAAACGATATCAATACATCTATTAAAACAAAATTATCTATTATGCTGTCCAGAGAGATTAAATACATTCTAATAGATTTATCGATAACGAAAGCTAAGTTTGCAACGGCTCGATCTTGCATTAATAACTAAGTCCCCTTACACAGAGCCGTCGCAAACCACAAATTGCGTTCGACTTCGCGTCGAAAACTTATCCATAGATGATACGGATATATAGACAATCAAGTGCATAAGCACATTACATTAGATTAAATTATAATCAAATATAATATTATATGCAAACTTGTATCGAACATTTTTTTTTTTGGATTTTCTAATATTTTTTATCGAGGTTTCCTTTATCGAATATCGTTAATGGTATAAGTACAATATAATAATGAACTTATGACAGGATAAATGAAAATACATTAACGTGACAATCAAATTAATGAACGTGAATTAATTAGTTGAAAATGTTAAAAATACCCAACCATATATAACGATAAAACTTTAGACATTAATAAATGATTACTTCAATATCTGAAACACTGTAAACCGACTAGTGTTTACAGGTACTACATGAAGAATAAGACTTTAATGAACACAAGTGACAATCAGTATTTACAATTATAACGTCCTTAAAATACCTATAATTATGATTTTTATATACATAGGTGTGATGTCATTACAGGCATGCATCAACTGTAATGAATTATAAACTTCAATATTTATAGCGCAATTCTTCAAGTAAAGGCTGTCGAATATGGCTGTTTCAGATACTGAAGTCAACAGAACTAACGAACTTAATAAATGTAAGAACGGAATATGTCTATACAATAATTTCACAATATAGTAAATATATATATACAATAACAGATAGCCTTTGCAATGCGATGAAATATTTTTTTGGTGATTTTTCAGTTATTACAAAGTAAATCACACTACAGAAAAATAAATATATCAAACACGACACATAAAATAGCAAAGTTTGCATGAATGATTACTTTTATATGAAATTGTAACTAGGCAAGGCTTTAAACGAAATAAATAAAGATTGGGGCCTTGTACAGACTCACGTGGTTACTAGTAACCATAAAGGCGCTACTCTGTACACAGTAATGCTCTTGAGTAGCAAATTGAAGAGCCCCGCATAAATGAAAATATATCATATACACTTCTTATGCTTTACATAAACTATAACAACAGTTACGCCTATATGAACTGTTACAATCCATATTGGAGGTGTAAATTATATTACATTTCCGTACAGTCACTGTTCATAGTTCTTGAATTGAAGTCGTTTTAAAACATGCGCTTAAACAGTGACTGTACATTTAACTATCGAAGAGCACAATTCTACACAATTCTTCACCTCATCCAACACACTAGAGGGCGGCACTGGGGCACCCCCGACTATCATTGTCCAACTTCATACAAAACTTGACACCTCGAACTACCACTAATCGGCTGAGCGGTGCGGCGCTCGTCGACTGTGTCACTACGGCCGCGTATCGCCCGCCTTCCTACCTTTATATTATGCGGCTATTCAATAAAATCGCCGCGTGTAAAACTAACGTACGACATACTGAACCAACCATTAAAAACAAATCGTCCACTGCCAACTATAACACTTACCACAAGCCTTAGATATATAAAGGTCCATCTCCACTGGCTTTGGACGATCGCAAAACCGCAGCAGTGTATACTTTCTTGGTACCAAATGTCATTTTTACAACCAAAAAGGTATCCACTGCTGGCGGAGTGGAGACACGCCCTTATGCATCTCCTACCACTCGTTCTGGTTGTTTAACAGAAAACAAAAAATTTTTCATTTTTATAAAATTTTGAATGATTCTACATCGTCAGAAAACGTAACCGAAAAATACTAACAAAATAAAATACCTGCAATATCTACGATTTATATTAACAAATTATTAAACAATTGGGGACGATATTATTGTAAGAATTATATTAGAATCGTCCTAATGTTCATCATGAAATGCTACCTCTCATTATTTACCATAAATATATTAACAGAATGCAAATTACGTAAATAACATCAAAGGCAAAAAAATAAATAATCCAATTCAATTCCAATACTTCACCCAAGGGTGTCCAAACGATTACATACATTATTCAATCTTTACCAAATATTTTTGACATAATGCAGTAAGACGTAGCATTCCATCGAACATCTCTATCAATATGAAATCTCTACAAAGAAAACATTGAACTAAAATTAATGTTACATATATACTCCTTCCAACAATATCTACAAAGTTAAAGATATGTTAGCAATTTCTAAACTTCGCGTGAACGTCGCCGATGCAACCAGGAAAACATAACTGCAAGGCTTCGCTAATTAAACCTATTATTATTGCTAACTTTTTTCAATTCTAATGCCACTTGAAAGAGAGAAATAGAGCCATGAAATTGTTAAAAAACGTCAAAGTGCATTCACGACGGTATGTCCATTTTGAAATTCTAGAACATGACTACAATAACGCAGAATTTTCATTTGTAACTTCATTTTACAATAATATTGTAAATTTTAATATAAAAGAGGAAATATGTATAAACTGACTGATATTCTGGTAAACGAAATAGAAGCTAGTCGCCTTGACACAGATTTACGTAACAATTACTGTAGTTCCATGAAATTGGAAGGTTGCTAGACTTCATTTATTGATGTACGTCAATATTACATCACAATCACACGAATCATTGCGGCACTGTATTATTACGTACTCTGTGTAAATATGACCAATTATTTAGTGGAATCATTACTGAAACCAAATCGGTTCAAGATCAATAATAAACAAAAAACAATATACATATATCGAATAATATTGCGCGTGCCTTCTAAATAACGAATATGGACACGCTGCTGAGACAATCAATAAGTTGTTAGTATTAATTTGTAAACATAAAAAAAAATGGAAAAAGTCAATATAAATAAATATGATTGGTATCAACTAACATTCTGAGCTGCATTAGCAACAAAATTATACTGAATTAATGACAATTTCATGTTATTAAATTGGTGTCAGACAAGTTCAAATATGTATGACAAAGGAGTTATCACGTATAGTTAGGGAATTTATTTGTTATGTAGTGTACTATGCTTTTAATAATTTAAATACAGTAAGTATTATGCGTGCACATATTGTTCAAATAAAAATTATTTTCGTCACATTATATTCAAATGGGTTTTTGTTCCGTACAGAAAATTATGTCTGACCCCGGGATTATATCTTCATTTCTGAGAACTAAGTTGAAATAAAGCTCAGCATGCAATTCTCTAGTCGTTACTATCGAATGTCTCAGTAATCATGTCCGTCAAATGATGATGACAACAACAAAAAATATACAATTAAAAATTATGAATAATTAGATTCCGAACGTCCACAACGTGACCGTCAGCGAGTGAGCGGGCGATGCATCGCGGCCGAACAACACCGCAGGAAACGAGCGTGCGGGTGCGAGCACGCCGCCATACAGCGGAGCGCGGCGCTGTGCCGCCGTTTGCGGCACTCCGCCGTGTTCACCAGCGATTCCTCGCCGGATTCCACGTCCGCATTCCCGCCCGCACTCGTTTCGGCACCGCTCAAGTACTGCGCGTGTGCCGCGCTGATATCCGACAGCAACTCCTCCCACTCCCGCCGCAGCTCGTCCGCGGGCGGCGCGGAGGCCGGCGGCGGGCGCGCCAAACAATTCTCGCAGGTACCCGCCTCCCCCCAGATGCTGTCCATGTTCGAGCGCATCTTCTTGGCGGCGCGGCCGCACTCCTCGCACGCGCTCCACGCGTCGTCGGGCCGGTCCGTCTGCACGGCCGCGTCTGTCTGTCGCATCGGGAAGCGCAGCCGGAAACCCGGGTCGTCGAGGTCCGGGCAGCGCTGCGCGTCCGTCAAGTTCAGTCGGCCGTAATCGATGCCGTTCCCGGAGCGGTACTCGAGGTACCGTTCGAGGGAGCTCTTCAAGTACATTCCGCCGGACTCGCTGCGACTGAACTCGACCTCGTCGAGGTCGCCGCGGATGTCGAACGTGTCGCCGTCCGCGTAGCGTGTGGGTTCGATCTCCGCCTCGCGGCGGATGGGTTTGAAGTGAGTCCGAGAGGACGTGAGCAAATCCTCGCAAAGCACGGAGGCTCTCGGCGTGTCCTCCGCAGGTTTCGTCTCGACGGCGAAGGCGTTCTCGTTGCGAGGTCGCCGTCGAGGCGGCACCTCCGCGAAGCCGCTGAAGTCGCGACTATGATTGATCGTAGTGTACGATTGCATCGTTTTCGCTACAGCTGACAGCGCGTCATATATCTCGTGGTCTTCGTAGATTGAGAACGACTCGAGCACGCGCGGTGGATATGGCGGCGGTTCCGCGACATCGGCGAGATTTAGCGGCTTGAAACGATCATGCAGCGCCTCGGCGATTTTCGTCGGTGATTCGGCACGGTCGATTGTTATACCATCTGTGGCGTCATTAGACCATATACTTTCGGTGAGAGATATCAAGCTGCACTTCTCGGCGGACGGATCGGCAAATAGATGATCGGAGGGAGACGAAAGGAGATCTTGGAAATCGATTGGAAGATCTTGATACTCATCATCGGGAGTATTTTGGTCCTTTGACCACAATGCTTCAATGGTACGATCAAACTTTGCTTCGAATTTTGCATACAGTTCTTCCTCCATCGGAGTTCTAACTCTGGGATTGAGATCTTCAGCTATAATCCAATCCGTATCAAAATCGATACTGTCGTCCCAGTTTGGCACCATGTTTTCATTCATTGTCAGCTTAGCTCCCGTTATCTCCTTAATTTCGTCAGTTACTGTATTTTCGCAAGTACCGTAACCTTCGTCTAATGCTATAGCTCTAATGAATTCTTTCACAGGATCCTGAGTTTCAATATCCCAAACTCCCTCGTGAGTAACCCACTCAGGCAAGTTCTCTTTACTTTCAAAGGACCTACTATAACTGTTGCAGCGCTTTTTGTTGCCCTTTCTTTGACCGTGATAGGAATTACGTCGCTCTTTACCTGAAGCAAATTTTTTGTTTTTCGCATTCCAATCTTTTGATATTGATATTTCACTTTGCATTTTGGTTAGTTTATCTGGTGCTGATTTGCGACACCACGCTGGCGGCGGCAGGTAATACTGCAGCGGAGACTCTTCACCTTTCTTCAGAGCCGGAAAAGCAGCGTAATATCGTCGTACAGCCTCAGATTGTTCTATGGAACACGTGGGCATAACTACTTGTGACGCACCTTCTTGATCTTTGATATCTTGAAGTCTCGTACACAGCTGATCAACAATATTGTCAATATTAGGTTCCTGAAAAAGAACACAAGCTTTATTTTAAAAAATAATCTAATCATTTCTCAATGTTAGAAATATGGTCTGTATATAGGAGATGCGGAAAACATGTATAAAAAATTATAGATACTTAAAATATGAACAGCTGAACAGTGACAATATGACAATTGTACACTAAACAGAAAAGTCATTTCAAATTAATAGGAAAATCAACATATATAAAAATATACATAAGAGTTAGCAACATCAATAATAGAAAAACCAGAAACTAATGAAAATGAAAATGAACAATCTAATGGCTAAAAGCTGTCTAAGTGTATATAAGACTACTGAGATCAAATCCATTTTTAAAAAATCATGCAAGTGCCAGTGGCGTAGTTAGGTAACCAAGGGCCCTGGGGTAAATCAAAAAATGGGGCCCTACATTACAGTTTTATTAAAAGGCACAGAAAGAATTTAGGGGAATTCCGAAGGTATAACTTTCGATTTTCTCTCAACTGAGTTGCCATTATTAAAGTCGGGTTGCAAACTGTCATATTTTGATGTCAAAAGTTCAGTTTGATTGAGATTTTCTGGTAAGAGTTCGAGGGCCTCAGGGCACTGCCCCACCTAGACCCTAGGTAGCTATGACACTGGCTAGTGCAATAGTTATAAAATTGCATAAGATTTTTGTGTAATTAATATTTTATATATGTTACATAAGAATCACAAAGATTTATATTTTACGAAAAATTTTAGATGTCATGTATATAACTAATATAATATAATTTTGTATATAAATTATATCATGTTTAATATTGAGATATAAAAACAGAATAACACCACTATCTCAATTGAAAACCTATTCATGAACCATTTTCCTTATAGAAAACAGGATATTCCTAATAATAAATAAATTAATAGGTTTTTGTAGAACCCACATGTATTTTACAACCATGGTGCTTTAGTAGATTAGTATGCTACATTATTTCTGATGGTTGTGGGTTTAATTCTTGCACAAAATGTTTATAATAATCAATATGAATATTTGTATTGGGATGTGTTTTCTATGAATGTATGTATAAAAAAAATATTTTTGGATTTCTATCAGTTGTTTAGTATTCATAGCACAAGCCCTGCTCAGTTTGGAACTAGATGGCGCTGTGTGAATTGTCCAGGGTTACTATAATTATTATGTTATTGTAATAGAAACATTCAAGTTTGAAATTCAAAACCAGTAGTTAGCACAAGTTGAGAAGTAGATGAGTTTGTATTGATTGTTTGTATAGGCAAAATGTCAAAATCCCACAGCAGTTTAATCTGTACATTAACTTTATCAATGTTATTTTATTAATTGAAATAAACAGATTCCATTTCTCTAGATTTCTCCATAATTCAATTTTTGTGAGCATTCTAGTTGCTTTCAAATCAGGATAGTTCATAAAAATATGACAATATCAGAAACTATGAGTATAAAAATACTACAAGACTTTTAGTGTTAACATAAAACTAAAAACAATTATTGAAATCATGCACTCTAATTATGTGTCCTTGATATTCTATGCACAACAGAAACTATAAGGAAGTAGGTAATTTATGTTTACATTACGGGCATTACATAATATTACATATATAAGTGCACTAAAAAATGTAGGTATTGTAAAAATGTACCAATTAAAGGCAATAAAAAAATAATAATAACATAAAAAAATAGACATGTAGGTTGCAAAATATGATGAAACTATTTAATTGACAAATTAATAAAAATGTAATAGATTAGTCACCGATTTTTGAATGTCTAACATATCTAAAAGTAAACACCAAAACACTACAATAATTTTGAATAAAGAATCAAAAAGAATAAATGGTCAATAATATTGGTTATTTGATGGGGGGGCTGACAAATTAGTAAAAAAATATGTAACTATAATAGAATAGTCACAGATTCAAAACAATTATAAAATGACACACCAAAACACTGCAATAATTAAGAATAAAGTATAAAAAAAAAGATACAATAATATGAGTTATGTGATAATAATATGAGGTCTGATAAATTAATAAAAAAAAAGATGTAATAGAATAGTCATGGATTCATAACATGTATAAAATGAAACATGAAAACACTACAAAATTATGACAAATACATTACCATTCTTTCTTTTTAATCAAAACTATAAAACAAAAGAATAAAAGAATGAACGGTAAATAATGTAGTTATGTGATGCAAGGTATATATACAATATGTAAATAAAAATAGTATATACTTAATCAATTAAACAAAGGGGAATAAAATGCATCAAAACTAATTTGGCCACTAAAGGGAAACATCTAAATAAAATTTGTTTATGTTCATAGGCAACATTGGTATTTATTACCAATTAATTATCTCAGAGCATAATCAATAATACAATGAGTACTTCAAATTTAACAATCATAAGAGTATTATTTGTAAAACAAGTTACACTAAAAATAATGTTGCCCATGATATGACACCAAAAACACTGGGACCGACCTTTTTGTAAGGATTCTTATAATTGCTAATTGTCTTCATTGTAACATATCCAGTGTAATGGTCTCTTTCCAATGTTACTGAGCACTGCATATCCTCTTGAGATAGTAGAAAAAATAGAATTAGTTTTTACAATTGGCCCAGTCAATAAATATTTACTAATTATTACAACAAAGTGATTATTAATGATGTTATTATCATTAATGTAATGATAACAGAAAAGTTTATCACTTTTCTCAAATAAACTAACATTTTTATCAGAGTGTAAGCAGGTAATATTAATAACACTAGTCTTAGAAACAGGGTAGCTTAGAAACATATTTTCTTTTCCACAAAGAGAATTATTATTACAAATGGCTGCCTTTAAGTTGACCTGACAAAGTTTAACGACCTAACTCCTTTAGAATATATAAAAAAGATGCCATACCTAACATTTCTCTTACATTATTCTTAGAAATATATTATGCGCTAGTTTATGAGATTGGCTGTGACTTACCTGTATGTAGTATGGGTATCAGATGACAAGGTATGGAGTTGGGTGAAGCTCTCTGGATGTGGCAGGCCAGCAGGCGTCCGCCTGGCTTTCTCTCTTATGCTTACGCATCCTGCCCGCAATAATCTCCGCCGTTATCAAATAACATCATCACGCTCATAAATCGAAGGTCCATTTTTCAAATGCCGAGGGCCGTGTGTTATAATCGATCCTTTATATGCCTCTTTACTAATACATCATAAGTTTCTTTGGCCTAGTCTTTGCTAGTGATTCGATTTTTTAATTGTAAGGCAGCTTAAATCGTGTCTAATAAATTGTGAGAGATTGCATTGTCACTAGCTAGTAACAAATGACGCACTTGGTGCACCCCTTCTGCAAAGTAAACATTGCGAAATTGTAAGGACTTATAACAATGTTGTTTTACTACAAAGGTCATTGCGATGTTGAAAACAAAGAATATAGTGAAATCCCATGCTCGCCCCGCCGCGCTAAATGGGTCGATGGCGGCAAAACGTCACTCGAGAAACGGCAAGAAATTATAGCACGTACGCAGACCTTCGGGATCTCAACATGAGAACGTAACATGTTTGTTATCAGTCAACAAAGATTTTGCGCGGCACGTAAAGCTATATAGTAGTTTTACACTGAGTCACTCGTAGTTACGAGAGAATGCGATGCAATTTCACAAGAAGGCGACAGTATTACATGATGCACTTTCACTAAGGATGAGTAGCGTACTTCCGCATTGGTATAGTAAAATTATTAGATATATCGAAAAAGCTTACCTGTAACAATTTGTACGGGGTTAAATTATCATGTTATATGGATATACACACACCCCACATGAAAAAAAACATGGCAGCCGTGATGAGTGAGTGAGAGTCTAAAAAATTATTATAATTTGCGCAACTCCGTCAACTGAACAGAATGACGTCTCAGTAATTAACCAATAGTATTGGGTTATATTTTCAAATATCCTACTAATGGTCGACTGTGAGCCCGTGATCATTTTGTTCTAGCTCTATGATTCGTAGATGTTTCACAAGTATGACCTCATTGGCTAATATGAACACGGAGAACCAGTAGAATTCTTTTGTGTGAAACCGGATACAGACGTTTTCGCGCCAGATAAAACCGCGAAATTCTAAATAAACGTTGAGCTTATCCATAGCAAATAATGAAATATTGATTAGTAATTTATTATTATGAACACTAATTTGAAAAATAAAACTAATATAAATGCTTTGAACGACGAAACCATAAAGATTTAGAGTTATTCGCTATGTGATTTTTATGTAAATTGTCCTTTTATGTAGTAATATATATAATTGCATAAATTAAATCTAAAAATAAAACATATACAAAAAATATATTCTCTTATTACATCGTGTAACTGTATGATATCATTGATTCATGTATTAAATTACTGATGCACTTTCTACAGCATGATTAACTGAACAAAAGACCACTAGCTTGATTGAGATACTTTTAAAAATATTAATAATATAAAGTTATTAAAAATTGTTATATAAATATATATTTCTTCCTCAAAAGTGCACAGGTTGGGATTCATAATATTTGATCATTGAGCAAGTACGTTATGTATTTAATATCATAATCCTCTGGCTAGATTCTTATCCCATATTTTGTTTTTCATTTTATTTTTTTAGAATTTTGTATTGAGTCATTTGTACTCAAATACCGTATGTTAATATATAACTCTAAAATAGTAAAATATATTAAGATTTAGATAATATCAAATGTCAACCCCGAACAATTCACACAATGTCATTTAGTCCCGAGCAAGACTGAAGACTGAGTATGTCATTTGGTACAATGAATCGTTTGCGTTCATACACGTGGCAACTTGTATATAAGTTGCCACGTGATATTTCGATTTAACGTATGTAATATCGTCAGTACATATATTATATTGTAACTATCAGGGCATGGGGAACATATAGATTATAGTATAAACAATAAAATGACACGTTTCATATGATTTCTTTATTATCTTATTAATTAGAGCTTTTAATTTCTCAACATAAAGTAAGTTCATTAAGTAATTCTCAATTTCTTTAAATAATAGGCTGAGTGGAATTTGTATGTTCATATATATAATTGGATTTACATATAATACATCACATATGCCGTCTTTAGACAGATTTTGTCTGGCCATTGTTGAGGTAACAAGTAATATTCTTTCATAAAATATTCATACCAGGGTGATTACTATTTATTGGATAAAACGATTTACAGTAAGAAGTAAATGTTGGTTAAAATTTTAAAAGAAAAAACTATATATCAATTTATAAATAAATAAAACCCCAACCGATTGTGTTTTACACAAAATATATGATTTACTATATACAGCCACTATATTATGGTTATTATATTGGTTTTATTATCAACGTATTTATTTTCAATGGCGTCGACGAGACTTCCTAGACATACTACACGTTAAACATGAACAATTTGTGCTAGAACATAAATAATATAGACTATAACAATAAAATAAATCTTACAACTCAAAAGTGATCACAGAAATGCATAAATAATAACATATATCTCTGTAATAACCAATGGAGAGAAACCAGAAAAAGATGTTAAAATATACGAAAAAATATATACTTTGTACGACATGTTAATATTACATATCATATACTATGTAACTTTTATATACATACTATTTATGTGATTCATGTATACAAAATACTTATTGTCATAAGGATATTCATTACATAAACAAAATAATCATCTACAAAGGACTGTACTATGAGGTAAACGGGCATTTTTGCTAATGGCATATAACAACCAAAAATAATATTTTTTAAGTTGCTTAGGTGATATCATAAGATCCAATTACCCTTTTGGAATTAGTATCACATTGTATATGTATTTTAGGCTTATTTACATGCAGTATCAAGTAGATACTACAATTGAATTGTACATCAAAATGGTTAAGTATATTTAGTTAATATTTACATCGTTAAGGTTATAATCCATGAACATTTTCAAAGTGAAATTTTGTATCTACCTTTATATCTACGCCCGTTATATATACCACATGTATAAATCCATATTTTGTATGTAAATAGAATGGCAAACAATTTGACGGCACACCTGATGGTAAGTTGTGATATCGCCTATATACATGAACGGCACTACGCACATCACGTTATCATGACACTCGTGATACCGTCCACGCGCTGCCATTCCAGAGGACTGTTAATATTATTGTAGTGTTCATATATAGAAAATATAATAAACACTATCGCTGTCGATTTGTACCAAACCGGAGCGAAAGCGTAACCATTCACCGCCATATTTACACATTGACTAATTGAATAATCTGTTTCAATGACTCTCGGGCCGTTTACTGCTCTCGCCGGTTTTGGGGACTATGTCATCGCCTTTCGGGATGGGTGGCTGTTCGTCGAATTTCTCCACTTGCTCTGCCTTTTTCATCTCTCGCCTCTTCTGCGCCTCGCGAATCAAGTCGAATAAACTCTGAAAAAGCAATAGTTATTATTACAATCATTGGAGTAAGTTTTGACTTAGTGATTTACTACTCTGACAGGGGAGAAGGAATTGTTAGTAATGGGGAAATGGTCACATTGCTAGCAAGTTACCAGATCTACATTCACGCGATCCCCCTGGGAACCAACGAGGTCAATTTCTAGTAAATTTGCCACGGTGGGCTTACTGACCTGACTTCATGCTCATCGTACCATTCTCCACTGGTGTCCAGATAGTGTATACCGTTAGCGCGGGCGGGTGCACCTTTGCATTATCATAGATTCTTACAGGTCGTAAGATCAAATCTAAACTAAATATTTTTGACAAAACCCAGTAATAAAAACCGATAAAAAAATACGGCAATAGATTCCTCCACTATCACGTTGCATTCAAATATACCTAGCGAATTTTGGGTACCTCAAGCAAATGTTGCGTTCACCAAGACTACGAGAGTTGTTAAACCTCATATAGGATAGCAGGAATGTATATTTTATAATATTAATTACGTTATTTTGATATTATACCATACATACAAGTAATGAGTGTGATAAAATCAGGTAACAAGCACCCGTAACTATTTTTTCGAAATATTGATTTGATAATTACACAATTGCAATAATTAATCATAATAGTAATTAATTATTATTACAATATCATTAGTAACTGTTATAATAAATTTAGAATTGATTTAACTAGAAATTCCAACTTAATAGAATATTAATGACAACGTTTCAATTATATTGCCATAAACGATTACGCTTGATTTGGTGAGTTATGACAACTTGTTTTTGCGCGAACACATACTAAATATAGGACTAATTAGTAACTGGTAGTTATACTATATCTTGAAAGTAGACTATATTATTAACTTTAAAACTTCATGGATGTTTACAATATTTTACTTGTAATCGAAAGAAAATTTTAGTTTTAGAGACAAGTTTAAAGAGTCTTGGTACGTTTCAGATCCTCTTTATATAGAGCTAGTCATAAAAGGTATACAAAGCTGAAAATACGCAACTGAATCACTTTTAGAAACAAACACAGTGGTAATCTAGAAAAATATTAACTGCTTGTATTAAAGTGATCATGTGACAGCAGAATTAGTATCAAAGTTTTAAACATTATTTCGAAATTTCCACTCTGCTTAATTGGGAAATTAGGGATACTATCACTGAATGTGTCCACTACACATTCAGTGATAGTATCCCTAATTTCCCAAATAAGCAGAGTGGTATTAAAGTGATCATGTGACAGCAGAATTAGTATCAATGTTTTAAACATTATTTCGAAATTTCCACTCTGCTTATTTGGGAAATTAGGGATACTATCACTGAATGTGTAGTGGTATAACCTTTATGACTAACCTTTACAAGGTTAAACAACAAGTAATTTTTCGCCGATCTCGGTGATCTAGCACCGTAAGTACACCGCTTTACATCCAATTGTCGTGGAATCAATTCCTCGCACAGTACCAATATTTCTTTTCAGTAGTATGATTGTTTATATCGGACTACCCAGTCCTATATAAAGAATCATACCAGTGGGTGTTTATTATGTATATTACGTATTTCCAAAAAATATGTAAGTATATCCGTTATCTAGATAACACAACCTTTGCTTAGCGTGGGTCCAGATGGCGTTGTGTGAATTGTAAAAAAAATCGTACATAAATAAAGTGATATTATATTAAACAGCTTGATATTTACCATGAAAACGACATTACCTTTCCTTCAGATTCCGAGGATTTGTCTTGTTCCTTGGCGGCAACGGCTGCCTTATCTAGCGCCTTCTGTATCTTGCTCTCGACTTCCAGAATCTCTTCTTTATCCAACAGCTCGATCAATTCCGCCATCTGCTTCTCCGACAGATTTACGTTCTCATTGCCTATGATTTCTAACATCTGAAAATAACATCAACAATGTTTAATTAAACTACATACATGTGTTAAAAGAATATTTCACAATAATTCAACTTGAAATGAAGAGAAAAGGGTTACAGTCATGCAGTTTATAAAATTTATTATTATTATTTTATCTAAATATTACCCGCGATTATTCGCGTGAATTAAAACTTTTATTAATATTTAAAATTTCTTAAATAACCCTAAGTTATTATTTATATACAGAATTATCTGTATTTATATACAGAAACTAGAATACATCTTCTATTGGTGACTTCGTAGATGTGAGTATGATTGATCAGGTATAAAAAGTAGATTATCTTCTTCTATATTTATATGCCATATTTCGTGATGGGTGAATAAGCCGATGTGGCATGAAATCCTAACAAACTCACTTCCGTATTTATAATATTAGTTAGGGCATATCCACGTAGAATATACTATTATACATTGTATGTAAAAATGTTTATGACTATGTTTGCATATAAAACGTCAATGACGCCATGGCTAAATTAAGCAATACAACCATAACGCTGGTGAAATAGTTAAGACATGTCCGAATCAAATTGAAATAAAACTTATCGCTAGGGAATAAGGTTGAAATTTCAAAATTTTACATGTGCGTATACTACATGCATTTCTATAAATATTGAAATTTCGCCATTTTAAGTCTAAAATCATATGTACGTTGTAGTACGTACTACATTTCATGGCAAAGATTCAACGTTTCTAATAACAACGTAGTAATGATATTGAATAATGTCATCTGCTAAAAATACTTTTATGCTTGCGGATGATTATATACTACTAATATTATAAATGCGAAAGTTTGTGAGTATGGATGGATGGATGTTTATTACTCTTTCACGCAAAGACTACTGAATGTATTTTAATGAAGATTGAAATGAATCTTTACAATAGTATAGGTTATACAACCGAATAATACATAGGATATAAATTTCTAGTTCCATCTATACGGAAAAAATTTGGTTAGAAAAAGATTATCCTAGCAATATAGCGTCTTCGTTCAGACTGAAAAATACATAATGCATTTGTTGTTGATGCCTAAGTCCCAACAATGTTTATATTAAATTAAAAACAAACAGTCAATGGTTTCGAAGACTTTCTTTCACAAACTCACTTTCTTCACGTTTGTCAAATTCATACTGTATTTTTATTATATACTAGCAGTTCCCGCGACTTCGTCCGGGTGGAATTTAACTTTATTTTTCTAAAATAAAAGTAGCCTAAGTAAAAACCTAAACTCCTTATTACATCAGCTACGTACCAAAAAAAAGTCCCGTCAAAATCGGTCTAGCCATTTCAGAGATTAGACGGAACAAATAGACAGATACAAAAATTGTATAAAATGTTATTTTGGTGTATGTACCGTATTTATATTCATATGCATGTAGTAAAAAACGGTTATTTCAATATTACAAACAGACACTCCAATTTTATTTATATATATAGATAAACTTACCTTTAAAACATCATCAACCTTCAACTGCCCGTCGAAATCGTCATCCAAACGACCCAGTACATCTTGTATTAACTTCAGTTTCGCTTCGTCAGGTACCTTCTGAAGGCTCTTAATGGAATGCATAAGTTCGTCAATTTGGATCAGGTGTTCTTTCGCTTTTTGTGGTTCTGTTCTTGTTTGTTCCAAGGTTGTCTTCAATGCTTTCTCTTTGCTCTCCAGTTCCACTAATGCGGCATCTAATTTGCTTATCATGTTATTCACAGCACGGTATAATCTGATTAGAAAAAATATATATCATTTTAGTTATAGACAATATAAGATTCCATAATAATTTGCTTTATTTTATTACAAGTTTCAAAGACTGATTACAATCATGCCCCATTTTCTTCAAGAGTCTATGTCCATCGTCTAGACCAGAGGGGTCTAGACGATGGACTTCCAAATTGGATGGATTCCCAAACTTTTTTATGTCGTCGCCCCCTTTCTTACCTGGTATTGATTTTTTGTAAATTTCTAACTGTAGTAAAGTTAAGTGTTAAAAACATAAAGTAAAAACAACAAGATGACCACTGGCGTAGACCCCTTGCAGTTCGTCATAGACCCCTGGGGGTTGATATAGACCACTTTGGGAATCACTGCTCTAGACCTCATAAATGCAAGCATCAAGTTAATAATTAACATAAAGCCACACTTATTTGAGCTCGGGTCTTTGGAAAGATGAATCAGTGTCATCAATTCGAAGCAAATCCTTCTTCAAACAGATTTGTTTGTACCTAAAGTAAAAATGTAGGCTCAACAATAAAAGGTAAGACTTACCTACGAGCACCTTTGGTCAACTTAATATCGGCCTGCTTTGTTTTAACAATTTCCTGCATCTCTTTCACATCCTCGCTGTACTCTGACAGTTCAGCTTTAAGTTCCTGGATACTTTCCTTTTCTAATAGCAGAGACTTCTTTTGTTCAGCTGAAAACATATGAAGATTCCATTATAATTTCAAACAAACACTTTACAGAATGATGAATTGTTATACTTATTTTTGCCCTAGACATTTCATCGCCATTTGCCATCTCAAATTCAGCAGATTCACTACTACAGACATTAGATAATTTAAATACATTTCTTTTTAGAGGGAGGAATTGTTCGTAATGAACACTAATGCTAGCAATGTACTATATCAACTCCACGCGGTACGTTCTGGAAATCAACATGGTTAATTTCTGGTGACTACACCATGATGGATTGATAATTTGACGTCATGATCATCTCACTTTTACTGATGCCGCGCCAGCGTATGTCGTTGATGGCGCAGATGGCGCTACGGCTTCATATACATCAATAAGAAATAATCATACTAACAATATTATAAAGGCGCAAGTTTATGGTTATGGATGGTTGTTACTCTTTTGCGCAAAAACTACTGAACGGATATTGCTGAACCTTAGAGTAATATAGACTATACCTCAGAATAACACAGGCTATATTTTAAATATATATATATTACGTAAATTGGGCCAAATATAATGGTAAGTGTGATGCACATGAAGTTGCGCGCTAGTCACAGTATAAAATTATTTATCATAAAAGTTGACCGTTGACCAGTATTCCTTCTGTTTTCTATTCAAGGGTTACTGGATGATTTCATCTTTCCTGACAAGATAACAAACGTGGGGCATAATATTATTAACATTCAATTGTCATTATGGAATCATCTGCTTATCAATAATCGCGCGGTTTACGACCTCGGTAACCACGCGACGTTTGAGGCAAGGTTAGATAAGGATTTAATACCGTATCAATGTGTAAAAACCAAATCAATATTGTTCCATACCGGATTATTCATATTATGTAGTATATCTGGGACAGGAACTAATGATGAATGTTTTAGTAGCCGTAAGCATGAACTAGAGACAAAAGTTCGAGTTTTAACGGATCGATTATCGATTTTAATTTAGATCAGGCTGCTGGAAGGAAATATTCTAATCGAATATACATTTGACACACCATAAATAAGGTTAACACAATTAAAATTTGTTCAAATAGTTTCACTTCCATTAACATAATGGATGAAATTATATAATATTGAGAGAGAGGGAACTTACAGAAAGATATGACTGGCTACATATAGGTACTTAATTTTTTATTCTGCTATATGACAGTATCACACATTTGCACAAGTATAATAACCCTAAATATTTTTTCTTAAGATAGTATCAAGTCATTAACCTCACTAAATGTATTTATGAACTTGACCTTCCTGCAAAAATGGATCAGTGCCAACTTACCTAATTTCTCTAAAGCATCTTCAATGACTTCAATGTCTTTGCCAGATAGGCCTTCTTCAGACTTCTTTGCAGTATCTACATTTACTACAGGAGCTGTGTCTACTAGAACTGGAGTTGCTTCAGGGTCAATAATAGGTGCTTTGTCCTTGAGTTCCTCCTTTTCCCTCTTCTTTGCTTCCAGTATCTCCTTCTCTCTTTCAGCCTCCTGTAACTCTTGTTTCTCTTCTTTGATCTTTGCCTCTTCCAGCTTGATGGCTTCTGCTTTTGCCTATAAAATAATTTTAAATTTAATATTTACTGTTTGTTAAGATCAGCAATATGAATATAATTGTTAATAACTCACCTTGAAATCAAGTTTACCCTCTTTCTCTCCAATAGCAGCTTTAGTTTGAGTAGCAACTTGTTCAGGCAATGCAGATATTGTTGCCTTCAGTTTGTATGTTGTAGGTACATGTTCCGGAACCATAAGGGCACGAGACAAGAGAAGCAATGAAGGTGGTACTTTCTCATTCAAAGACAAATCCAACCAATTTCTCAATTCCTTTCGTAATCTCTCTTCGGAAACTCCATATGCTCTCATACCGCGGGCTCTGCAAGCTTGTTGCAATTCACTGAAATTTAAACTATCTACTCCTTCTTTTGCAATCATTTTGTCATCAGCGGCTAATGATCTCAGTTTCATTTTGAGGTTAAACCGTAACATTGCACTTGTACCTATTGTGGAGACATTTAACACTTTGCAAAGGGCAACCAGATGTGGTCGTTGTAATGAGTCCAAGGTTATTTCATCCTCAAATAATTTTGAGAATTTCATAATCTCTTCACTGGTTGCAACATCACCTGATGTCCTTATTCTACTGAAGAAACCAGAGAACTCTTTAGCCAGCTCAGAATGCCGATTCTTAGCCTGTGGTGCCATTTGGTCAAGTGTTTCTTGGAAAAATTTTGCCATTTCTAGTTTTACTTTCAAATGTTGCTTTAACTTAGCTTCCTTTTGACTAGTACTCTCAAATGTGGACGGCAACATATTAGGGAAAAGTTTAATGAACAAAGGCAAAGCAAATTCTAAAAATGGTACTGCAATGAACACAATAAAAGGTACCATACGAAACAGATCACCAATTGTTGTCACTAAAAGTCTGTGTTCCCTTCGAGTTAGAGATTCACCTTTTAATATACGAAACAACAAGGCTGTAGATATTCGAACTTCAATAAAAAGCAGCCTAAAACCATGGTAGTAATGTCGCAATTCATCCATAACACGCTCCTTAATACTTTTCTTTACTTCTTCCTTCTTAGGAAGTTTTTCTTTCTCTTCGATACCCTTCTTTATTGTTTCAACTGTGGCCTCCACTTTGGAAGATGGTTTTAAGGGTTCTTTGTCATAACAATGGCTGCTTGTTGATATTGGTCGGATATAAGGCAAATAACAGTGCACTCCTGAGTTAAGTGGCTTCTGTGTGACATCATGATGCAATCTTGGTGGCTGAGTTGTGTAATATGACAATGATCTTGAAAGTGTGACATATGGAAAATTTTCATATTGTCTTGTCTCCCATAATAAGGCTAAAACACGAAATAAAGATTTTTAATGTACTATAACATTGATAATGATTATAAAGACAGATCATATCATTTAAGTAGGATTCCAAGTTGTCGTCGCGGCTAACCTCTGTATGTAAATAATAATACCAACATCAATGGACAGTGTAAAATATACCTACATGTATATATATATTTATGTACTTAATAAGTTATTTACGTAAGACTTAACATATTGAACAAAGTTATCTGTTCAATTTGATAAACCTGTAGCATTTTTCAATTAATACACCGGAACATAGGAAAAAATAACAAGATCTATTACCAAAATTAGTAATCTGTATACAATAATATGTAAGAGTATAAATTGATTGAGTAATATTGGAAAATGTTAAAAATGACAAATATCGAAAAATTTTAGATATGCGTACAAAAAAAATATAAAAACATTATATAAACCATTTTCAAAATATTCAACCAATCTTAGTCAATCCGTCTTATTGATAGGTTAAGCATACATGGGCATATAAATTAGTGGATGATAGAATAAACTTACTTGACTTTTTTAAAGAACGACTGTGAACCTGTATTAGTCTGTTCATTTTTTATTTTTCGCAGTACTTTGTAATAATATAAATATGAAAAACGTAACAAAAACAAAATCAACCTTTAGACAACCATGACAGTCGAGAATATTACCATCATTCATTCATTCAATTTCATTCATACTTCCCTGAGATAAGACCACGCTGAGTCCACGGTTGAGGTGGATGACATAATTTAATGTGACTATAAATAATTCTTTTTTCAGTTTTAAATGAACTAACACTTTTGTTACATCTTTGCGACCTCTTTTAATTCATAAACATTAATATAATACATAAGTAAAATTGTGACAATAACGCGGAATTTATTTTCTAGTTTAGTCATAACTAACATTTCATTGTTGTTTAATTTTTTTATTGTAAATTAATCGTATCGATATTATTATTATTTATATTTACACTGCGATTCAGTAATTATATGATCCATTGCATTATCAGATATTTTTATTAATATATTACGAGCCTGCGGTTTCACCTGTATTTAATTTAAAGCTTGTGTTATTCTGATGTATATATTACTGCATAGTTTCATCAAAATGCGTTCAGTAGTTTTTGCGTGAAAGAGTAACAAACATCCATCCATACTCACAATTTTTCGCGTTTATAATATTAATAAGATATATTAACTGCACATTATGTGAAATCTCTAGCTGTTACACTATTGACAGATTAGCTATTTTCTAATAAAATTTTGGAGCATTTAGAGTGAAAAATAAATTTGAGGAAATATGGGTCCAGTCATAAATGATGTAGGTACTAAAAAAAGGACTCAAATCTGCGGACTAAAAATTAAAGAGACTATGATGCTGGTATGTCTTCTTTGGCAAGTTGATGTAGGTTTAGAAATATAAGGTCACAAACCTGTGAGCCTAAATTAACAAGAACAATCGGCCTAAAAATTTGGTTTTTGCAAATACTCAGCCGAAGTATAAAATATCAAGAACTGTTGCAGAAATTTAGGGAAATAACAGATAAACATCTGGTAACACTGCGCATTGGCATTCGGCATAGGGATACCAACGGTACGAGATTCCTCGTAGAAGTAGGAGATATTTGTCCAACATTTTTATTTTCGGTATAAGGACTTTTTTATCTTCGTAGTTTCGTACAAGTTTGTAGGAGATTTTACCTACAGAGAGTGGTCAAAAGACTGATGTACCAGGTTAGAAATTGAGCTAATGTTAGAGATTTTATTTCTTCTTCCAAGACTAAATTTCTTAATGTTGGAAACCCTGATCCGTTATTTGCTGTAAGTAGTTGAATTTATCTATCATCCACTCTCCTGTCATTCTGAAAAAAAAATGCCACGCGTTTACTGTCCTGTTTTATAATTCAACTTTAGTTATTATTATTTTAAATTTATTCTAAATGAATGTGTTTCGGCAATATTTAGTTTTATCCGTTACTGCATTACGAAAATCTGTACGATATAATTCATGTAAGTGTAAATTTCATTTATGAATATTTTAAATGGGCTTGAAAACTAAAATAAAAATTAACACGACTTTTAATAACTTTTTCCCAATTGTAGTTGTAGTGTAGACTACAAAATACTACAAAAATTATTTTTGTACATGTACCTGCACAATTGATTATTATACATATATTAGCTTTATTGATTTAACTTTTATTTATCTTTGATTTATTCATATCTATTATCATCATCATTATATAATTTATTTTTCTGTGATTGTTTTACAATTGAAAACACCACATGTTTCACTAAGCTTAAATATTTTTTTTAATTTTAGATTTAAATCCAAGTCTCAACATGGCAAAAAGTGAGTCCAAGAGGATTGTATGGATGGATTTAGAGATGACAGGCCTTGATATCAACAAAGATCATATTCTTGAGATTGCATGTTTAGTGACTGATGGAGACCTCAATGTGGTAGCGACTGGTCCTAACATTGTTATACATCAGCCAGACAATATTCTAGCAAATATGAACTCTTGGTGTGTGGCCCAACATGGTGAGGTATTGAGTTATCATATCACACATTTCATTGTTTATTTACTCTGAATATCATATACAGAATAGATAGAAATGGTATTCTTCACAATTTATTTGTTGTATAATTAGAGAGTATAAGAGATGGTGTTATATTTTTTTAACAATACTAGCCATTACAATAAATATTTAATTTCTATTAATATAATATACTATTTTCACATTATTAGATTGAATTATATTATTATAGTTAGAAAATTTATTAAGTTGAGTAAATAAAGAATTATTTTAATAATTAATATTGAATAAATTATAGTTATATCATTATGAATATATCTTATGAAATCTCTATTACCTTTTTCTATAAATAGTATACTTAGAAAATAATCTTAGGGTGTTTTTATTTTATTTAGACACCAGTTTCTTAGTAGTATTATACAAAGTTGTCAGCATGGGTACATCTATATTTTTAGCTGCCAAGGTTTATACTTTGTAAGATTTGGTTCAGTTAGAGAGTGGGATATGGTAGTCTAATTACAGGGTTGGAGATACAATGTATTAGTCCTTCAGAATGATAATTCATGAGGGATACCATATGGGTAACATTATTACATGACATCCATAGTGCTGATCATGTATATAGGTGTTTGTTGATTGCTTACTTTTAATGAAAAGAATAACCGATAATAAAGAAATAAAGTCAACCTAATGAGCTTGACTGGCAGCTTGTTTACCTGTCTTGTTTTATATAAATTATTATTCCAAATTATTATCTTAAGGCTGGTTTTGTATTCAGTTAATTCACTTACTTGTGGTATGACCCTAATAAACTGTTTTAATTATTATTTTATTACATTTTGTTATTTTATACAATATTTTTGTAATATTTTCTTAATTTGATTCCAGAGTGGATTGACACAGGCTAGTAGAAACTCCAAAATATCAATACAAGATGCTGAGACGAAAGTCCTCGAGTTTGTCCGGAGACATGCACCTGAAAAGAAATGCCCATTAGGCGGGAATAGTGTCTATATGGATCGTTTATTTATCAGAAAGTACATGCCCAAGGTTGATGATTATTTACACTACAGAATAATAGATGTAAGCACACTCAAGGAGTTGGCCAAGCGTTGGTACAAGAAAGAGTATTCAAATGTACCACAGAAAGGCTTCAAACATCGGTCTATAGATGATATTCTTGAAAGCATAGAAGAGCTCAAGTATTATAGAGATACTATATTTAAGCATTAATAATTAACAATCATTATTTAATTTAATATAAACACTTTACTTTTATTGTACAGGCAAAAAAATTGTAAAACGCAAGCTTAATGCCTTATGGTGTGTTGAAAGCGTTGTAGGGCAGTCATAGCAAAAAACTGTGACAATAATACAATATTATATAAATAAATAAACATAAATACAGTATATAGTATAAAAACATAAATTACACAGAATAAATAATAATAATAATCTTAGGACAATTCACGCAGCGCCATCTAGATCCAAGTTAAGCTACCTAAAGCTTGTGTTATGGGTACTAGATACCTGATACAAATACATAGAAAAAATCTATGTATTTCTATCAGTTATCTAGTATTTTAGATCTATCTATATATATTTGATCTAGTATTTTTCGTAAATACATACATATTATACATAGAAAATACCCAGACCGATACAATCATACTCATGAATACAAATGTTTGTGCCGTGCGAGGAATCGAACCCGCGATCATGGGACGTAAAGCGGTGTGCTAGACCGCTAGACCATCGAGGTCGTAAATCATTAATATAGAATGTAACATTTTCTATAGAATCAACCCTATGGATCATAACAGGAATTAGATGTTGAGAACATGAAATATAAATCATGCCACAATTTTATTAATCATCATGCAGTAAAGCAGTAGTAAATTTGATTGAAATATTTGATAGTGTGTCCAATAAAATTAAATTGAAATAGCTTTAAAATTATAAATTATAAAACTTTCAAAATTGTATTTTGGCTACCCATATAGTTTTGTTTCAGTATCAAATTGAGAAGAAAAGAGACAGAACATTTCAATAGTTAAATTAAATAATGGGTTATAATTAGAAGTTTGCCATTTTTTATTTAGAATATATCTAATATATATACATGATGATGAATAAAAATTATAACCATATTAATTATGCCTGTGTAGCCATTGTACAGTTTCCTGCGTATTTTGTCCATATTTTTTTTTCTCTTTATTTTGACAACATAATATAATAATTAATTATATTTACATAGTATACAATAAAGTCGCTTCTGCTGGCTGTTCGCTTAGATTTTTTAACTACGTGACAGATTTTATTTTTATGCAGTTTAGCAATAGATATATTGATTCAAGAGGAATGTTTACATGTACACTCGTACGGAGCCGGGACTGGAAGCTGGTCTATAATAATCTAATATCATTCAGGCGATAGCGGCTAAGTAAACCATAAATAATAATATAATATTCTGAACGCTTATGAAAAATGTTAACAAATCTTGACACATAGAGTTCTTCTAGTATTACAGTTGTTCACTTGTACTAGCAATCAATCGTATTATAAATAGTTAATTCAAAATGGTTCATTTGACGCATGTAGCTAAGTAGGACGGGTATAAGTCTCCTGAAATAATAATAATAATAAGCTAGTGAAATAATAAGGCTAGTGCATCGATAAATAACTTAGGAAATACTCTATATTTCGTAATTTATAACATCCCACTGATGTACAAAGCACTTTTAAGGCAACAAGTACTTTTAAACCGTTTACATCAACACAATTTGATGCCTGCATCGTCGGAGCCACTGAACAAATGACACTATCTATAGATTTATGCAAATGTGAGAACTTTATAATTTTCCTGATTACAATAATAATATCTCAGGACAATTCACAGAGTGCCATCTAGTCACAAGCTAAGCAGAGCTTGTGTTATGGATTCTAGACATCAGATATAAATACTTAGACACATTTTTTTGTGAATAAATACATAATTACATACAAACACCCAAACCGTTACAAACATACTCAAGAATACAAATGTTTGCAGGAAGGAATCGAACTCGTTATCATCGGAAATAAAGCGGTGATTAACATTCATTCTTTTTTTAATTCAACACACAAACTAGGCTAATCACGTGTCAATTTGTTATAATAGGTCAGATCACACACTATCTTGACTGCATCTACACTAACCGACGAATACCATTAAACATCAGGTTGTCGTCAGCTGCGTTGCCCTGTACCCAAGTATTTAAAAAAGTACATACATACATAGGTATTAATGTAATATATTAAGTACAGTACAAGTAAATTCTGTAGATAGGTAATAATAAATATTGTTGTACACGAGTGTAGGTATAAAAAATAGAATAATTTCAGCATAGGATAGTATAAAATATACACACATTTTGAATATTCTTTGTTTATTATTTACCATTTATACATTTTTTTAAATGGATAATAATGTAATGGTGCACTCGCCTGCGTTAATGGTATACTCTGGCGCAGCATCAGTGGAGGATGAGAATGAGGTCAGGTCAGTTTGTTTAAAGAACCAGGAACCCATCGCGATAAAAGAATCAGGAATTAATCACGAAAGACAATTAGTAAGAGAATTGATAACAAAGAAAAGCGGGGGAAGGCCTTCGACAATGTGGACCCACGATCTGGTCTAGATCGCGGCGTTGTTTGCGGGCTGTGAAGGACCGGTGGTTGTGGAAATTTTTAGGGGAGGCCTTTGTTCAGCAGTGGACGTCTTCCAAGCTGAAATGATAAAGATGAACCACGAAGTTTCCAGGGGAAACCTCGTGGAAGTTCGACCTGACATGGTATTACTAAAAACGAGGTCATCAGTCTACATTAATAACAATTCTCTTTTCCCCCATTTACACATACATAGTTATCAGTATGTACAACAATCAATATTTCAATTATAAAAACTTCCAAATTTTACAGTAAACAACTGTAAAATTGTAATTGTAAAAGGTGGGATAAACTAACCTATGGACGAAGAATTGCATCAAAGGGTTGCGTTTTGTCTTTTTGGTTCGAATATAGTTTTATGCTTGTACAAGAAATAAACATTGTCATCATAGCAATTCATTATCGCATTTTAGCTTCGGGTCTTTCAAGACAGGAATATATAGTACATAGTTACCATATCATACACGTTAATTATGCAATAATTCTTAACTTGTCAGTGGTTTTATAAGCAACAACAAAAATATTTATGTATTTAAAGAAAAAAAAACTGAACTAAGCACTTTTACACTTTTACATAAACTTAATTTAAGCAGTTTTGAATAGACAACAATTTTTTTTAATCTATCGCTCATTCGGTATGCTGTTTCATCACAATAAGAATAGCAAGAAACTTGTGTGAACAACACACATTCCTTGTAAGTTCACATTTTACAAGTCGAAACGCGTGAATACCAAGTACCAACCAGCACTAATTCATTTAGGCTCAAATATAAAAATAATAAAATTAAATCAGTCGTAGTGATAAGAGCAGACCAGTCCCTACAAGCAGCACTCGTTCACGAGTATGACGGATGACCCAGCCATCACTGCGCTCGACCATATTTTAAGGAGCCCAATGACCCGGCACACCACGCCGCCACAGGTCTGGAAGAATAAGCTAAGAAGAATCGGCACCCGTCTGTCTCAAATAAACACTAGTTGAGTATAATGTGTATAACGAGACAGGTTCATTCAACCCTTCATGTACTGTAACGGTCAGACTTTTAGAGTGATAAAAGGTATATAAAAATCATTGAGCTATTATTCAGCAATATACTTTTTGTGTTAGAGAAGACGGTCCTCACCGCAATACACCTCACGATATGATTGGAAGGTAAAGTTTTATTATGGATGTTATATAGATATTAATTATCCTGCATATTCAAAACTCATTCTCCCTCTTCTTTATCTGTCGCTGGTGTTCCTCTAGCAAATACAGGCGTATGCACAATTCCATTATCGTCCAATAATAATAAAGCATAAGTATAAGGATGAGCATATGGAAAATAAAATATAGAATAGTTAGTGATCACTTTACCTGTTTTTTTTAACGACTTATAATGAAATGGTGCTCATGCGCTAACGGTATACGTTTGAGGGGCATCAGTGGAGGATGATAGTATGAGTACGTATGCAAGTCATAAAGCCCATCATGGCATATTCAACAGAGAGGTCTTCAGGGGATGTCAAACTGCCGGCAATCAACATTGACATTCGCTGTTACTGCAGTCAGCTCGTGACTAGGGCTAGTGCAGTGATATCCAAAGTGGTCTATATCCACCCCCAGGGGTCTATGACAAACTGCAAGGGGTCTACGACAGCGGTCACCTTGTTGTTTTTACTTTATGTTTTTAACACTAAACTTTACTACAGTCAGAAATTTACAAAAAACAGGTAAGAATTTGGAGTCTACCCAAAACCGAAAAATGTGGCAAGGGTTCTACGATACAAAAAAGTTTAGGAACCCTGGGCTAGGCTAGAACCCTAGGCTATTATTTTTTATTTCTAGTTTTACTTTAGTGCGTGGACATAATGCGTCAATGGTAGGTGCGGAATAAGTTTGCACAAAACATTGGCGGTCACGTTTCGCACTAGTACGACGTTAAACTACGCTAAACTTGCTAAACTACGTTCTAGTTTAACGTTAGTGACGCCTGAAATGTGATTATGCTTGTTATTACACAAGTTCGTTGCCGGCCGGCTATATTGTTGAGCTGCTTTATTTACTACTAGCATCTGCCTGCGCCTTCGTCTATGACGATGAATGGTCCATCCCAAAGAAATCTTCCAAACATTGTATGTGCTTAAGGAAATTAAATAAAATTTGTACTTAAATTATGTTAGTATCATTTGTTCATTGACAATACTTTTTTCTTTTTAATGGGTGAATATGGAATAGTGCATCCGCGTGCATTAACACGCAGATGCGATGAGTTTAGAGGGGTCAGGTCAATTTGCGCATTATGACAAATTTACCAAAAATGTTTGAAGAACATTTGTCATAAGGGGTTTCAGGGATAACCACGTGGAGGTTAACCTGACATATTACATAGCTAGCGTACACATCCAAAACACAGAATTTATCTTGTAGAAAATTCTATGTCATAACATACCTACATAAAGATAGGGGTTAATTTATATAGATAGACAGATAAAGAAAAAGGTTCCCAACTTAATTGTGTCTGAGAAAAGTCTTTAAAATGTGTTCGCGCGCGAATAATTTGATGACTGAAATATGTACGAGTAAGTATCAATAAAATATCTGAGATTGCGTAAGTCGTGAACGCAGCGTAGGTATACCTTGCCTGGCGAA